TATATATATATATGTATATATATGTATATATGTATATATATGTATATATGTATATGTATGATACAGAATGAAAAAGCCCATTAAAGAAAAAATAAACTCAACAGAAGGACAATCAACCTCTGTGTGTATTGTTTGGTCTTTATAGATGTACTATCATTATTCTTTCATATTTTTGTAAAGGAATTATTGAATTGATGCAAATAAATGTGTTCCTCTTAAATAACCCACATCAATCAATCTTGGGGTTTGTGAGGATTGATAATACCGGGATAACGACATTCATTAGGTCATAATTTAGGCGGAGAGCTGCTACACACACGTGGTTGTACGTTTGCGCATATTGTTATTTTTGAGTCAAGCGACTCTTTGTCCCAATTCGACCCGCAATCCTTTGACGTACCACACGAACACAATCCGTTTTTGATGAGCTCTGCTACTGACCCAAACTATATACTGCCCCCCCCCCCCATATTTTATTGTTGTCCTCATCCTGTAACATCTGAATCCCAGCCGAGATAAAAGCCCTCCTCCAACCCAACACCAATAAGAATCCGGTGCGCTCCTTTCAGTCACCTCCCCTCCGTCTCCCTCCTGTCCCCTTCAGCGGTTCTCCTCTCCGGTGGTCCTCTCGGCTCCGGAGTCAGCATCACTCACTCTCCGACCTACAGCACAGGACTACGCTCGGCCCGGCGGAGGAACATGTTGCTTCAGAAACTGGTACGGTAAGAGTCCGCGTTTGCAAGTTTTAGCTGCAGGGCACTTAAGAGTTTTAGACGTCGCAAAAGACGTAAATCCGTGCGCAATTACGCATTTAACCCGTGTGTTAGTTTGCGTAATTCATTCAAGGGCGTTCAACTAGTTTTCTAAGCTTTCTTTTCTCCAGAATACCCCCCATCTCGCCTCTTCCCTTCCTGCTGCGAAGCATTTGCAAAGCAATTGTAGATCTAAAAGATCAAAGGCGATAGTTGTGCGGATGCGGGTGGTCCCTATTCACTCTGATGACCAGTCTTGACAGGTCATCGAGAAATTGCAGTTACAGCATAGCCTGTGTTAGACTAGTGCTAAGAAAGGCAGAGCTCTATAGATCTGTTTTCTGTCCACACTTTTTTATTTGAATGCCGAACAAACTTTTGAAACCGTGAAGTTCAGGATTCATTTTGGAAGTGCTCCACAGGCTTAGCCAACTCTTGACTGTTTATTTATTTTAATATAGCAAGCTAGGATAGAAAGGCAACACATTTAAGATTATTTTGCAATAATCGCACCAAATGTAAAGCCAACCAAAAATACAACAAATTGTAGCATTGCTTATAAATAACCAGCAAGACCTGACAGGCTTTGGATAAGAATAATGTAAAGTGCTCTCATAAGAAGTTGTTTTTGTCAGTGACTCTCTAATGAAGAATAGATCTCATGACCTTTGATTATATGCAGCAGTAATATAAATATAAATTGTGTTGTCTCAGTTTGTTTGGATCCTGTCAGTCCTGTGTGGCACCGACGTGTGTCTGGGATTTGTCTACGACCGGCCCAGACGCTCGGGAGAGGACGGGACTTCCACCAGATCAGAGTGTGAGTACCGCTGACCTTGTTCCTGGGAAACATAGATAACATCTTGTGAACTGCTCGACCCCAAACTGAGGTGGCCTTAAAAAAAAAAAAAAAAAGGCACTCCCACCCTCAGGGTGGCTGTTCTGTCTGACTCTTGGTGTGATATAATTCCAGCGAAAAGAGTGTTTCCTTCCCTCCAGGTATTCATAAAGTAACACAGACTCTAACATTGTAATCATTTATAGAGTCCTGAAGAGATGTAACTTCACAAAAAGAAAAGATTAGAGAAGAAATGTGAAAAATAAGCAGAATTTAGTGTCATCTTGTGACCCTTTGGGTTCTTTAAAAATAAAGATTATTTTCATTTTTGATTCATTTTTTCTTTTGACTTATCGATTCATCATTTGGTCGATGCAATAGTGAAGAAAACCATCAAGATGACATCTTCAATTTGCTTTATTCTGTCTAACCACCAGTTAAAAACCAAAGGATATCCTGTCACGAAAGACAAATGTGAGGTTTTGCTGCTTTTAAAACAAATGGAATGTCTTTGTGTTTTTAACGCTTAATTAGACAAAAACAAGCTAATTGAAGATGTCACATTGGCCCTCTAAGAAGTCTCTAGAATAAGGCAATTTTCAAAATTTTCTGACAGTCAATTGAAAAGATCAATTGAACAATGAATTGATTTGGCAATAATGAAAATAATCCCCCCCACACCCACACACACACCACCACTCTGCAAGTATTGTGTGGTTATCTGCTGTCAATGAATGAGAACAATGCAGAGGTGCAGTGAGCCTCTGTGAAAGCCCCTCAGAACTGTGCTCAGTGAAGCAAACCCCAGCAAAAAAGAAGTCACACACTTTAATTTAGCTGCCAAAGTGGCTGGGCACAGGCCATGTGAAGTTTACTTTGGAGCCGCGTTAATGTATCTTGGCCAAGTGTTCATGGGACATGCCTGAAGCCACGCTCCAATCCCAAGACACATGCAGAAAACAACTTTTTTAAAGCAGAGTAAATCTTGAACCCTATGTGAGCTTCAAGGGCAATCAGTCCAACATCAACCGGAGTGACACGCGTCCACCCACACGGGCCGTCTCTGAGATCACTCCCCTAACATGAGAACTCACTTTCCACATCAGCCGCTCCAGAGGAATGTCTCCTGCTCAGTTTGTTTGCCGGGTTGTTTTCTATATGAAGTGTCTGCCAGCGCATATGAAATAAGTGAGCGGAGAGTATATTGGGGGGGGGGGGGGGTTACAACGGATCACTGTGACCCTGCGAGGTTGTGATTGGGCAGCCCATGTGTTTTCTTTAGGGGGAGAGAGAGAGAGTGTTTGTGTTGCTCTACCTAGAGTCAATATTAAGAGAGCATTGGAGCTCATTTTCTGCCTCAGATTCTCAAACCCTGTCGGCATCAGGAGGCAGAGGTTTGCTTGGATTGTCATAGCAGCAGGCAGCGGTGGCCATTCTGGAATTTAATTGCTGTATATTTTGCAAGATTTTTGCATTTTTTTCCTTTCTTAGCAGAGAACATAAGCCTTTTACACAGCAGATATTTCAAGAGTAGATAAAAAGCACAGGTGTAAATAATGACATGATGGCCGGATTCCATTTAGCTGCTTCAGGTTCAGGGTCCGGGTGTTGTTCGTGCTGGCCCACTGCCACTCTGTCCTCATTTCTTACTGGGACGCTTGACTAGAACAGACCCATGTTGTAATTTGTGACACATGTGCTCTTCCTACTTAAGACGACTCAAAATGTGAAGAAGATTGAATGTGAAAGCTCATTGTTGACTTTGGGAAAAGTCATTTGATCACCTAAAGAAATAATCGAGTCACTAGTTGTTCTCAGAGCTTTCAACCTCGCAATTTGTGCTTTTTGGTTATTTTACACCTGCCTGACCTCGTTTTGTTCCTCACTAAAGCATGAGAAGAACATTAGTAAATAGGGGTCAACATTTCACCTCTACTTCTTGGTCTGTACATTATAATTTACAATCATCAGTTATAATAATAAGAAGTAGAAAAAAAGCCAACTACTAACTAGTGCTGCCCCCTCGTCGACTAAGATTTCTTTAGTCAATAAGGCATTTTTTATGGTTTTCACGCTGAATGACTTATTTCCATGAAACCTCTGAGCCCATCTCTGGTAAACACCAGATTTAAAGCTTTTGTGTGATTCTTTGTGGAGGAATTCAGCTCTGTCAATTTAATCGAGAAATCGATAGCGTCTGAGAGCCGTTTAAAATAACGTGTTATCTTAAATATATTTGTTGTGGCATTGGACTATAATTGACCTCAACCATCTTTTTGTCTACTGTGACAAACTGTTAACTGAACGTCCGTCTACCAGACCTGCCGCCCGCCCGGCAAAGTAGATTCCTCGTGGCGGGGAGGACAAAACAAAAAATACGAGACGCTGGACTTTGGATTTAATCCAATAAACAAACTATCAAAGCGTCCACGGACCCTATACCGTCACATACTCTGGTCAGCTCTACTTCTTCGTCCTCTCACGCTGGACTGACACATTCTGCTGATAATGTTAGTTTCACCATGAACTTAAGTTCAAATTTGAACTCATGTAGCCAAGAGGATGTTGTATGTGCTCTAGTAGACTTAGACAAAAAGGCATCCAGGGTTTTCACCTTTGACCTGTGGTCCTCACTTGCTCCGACAGAGCAGGAGTGAGTCTTACTGTCATGAGGATATTGATGCTGCAGCCCTCACCAGTTCACACTGCCGTGCCAACTAGCTGGGCAGCATAAATAATTTAAAGTGTAACGCCTCGGTTCCTTCACATAGCGCACATATGCACTTGTACTTGCATAAAGTAACAGACACACACACACACACATACACACATACATATGTCCACACAAGAACACACAAACACGCCGTGTTGAATAACCCCCGTTGCCATCCCCTGACTTTCCCTGTGAGCGAGGTTGTTTTTTTCACAAGTGGGTGGACAAGGAGCATGTTGTTAGAAATGTAGCAATAAGTTCACTCACTCTCAGATCTCCAGGATGTCTTCAGTTAAGCCAGGGGGTGCTCACAATGCGGGTTGAGTTCCACACCGGGGCCACCGTCCTCTGGGACCTCAGTGGACAAGAGTGTTATTGTATCTGAGGAAAGCTGTCCACATAGTGAGTTAGAATTACCCCAGTTTGGGTCCCAGGAGAGGATTTCAAGTTTAGTAATTATTGAGTTTGGCACATGGCTTACAGACCTTTTGTCACAGTTATTACCAGTTATTATGAAATACATTTTCAGTTTTCTGACCACATTTGTTGCTTTTGACAAAAGTATTTCTGACTGCAGATCGGTACAGGTTGAGAGGCATTTGAACAGTGCAGCCATTCATTCATTTTTTGGACAATATGCCGTATTTAGCTGTAGCCCCCCCCCACTGGCCAAATGCCAAAATGTCCCCCCAGTTCACTGTTAATGTTTTGGACCTGTGAAAGGCGTTGAGTTGAACGACAGTGACATTTGTGGTCACCGCTGTGTGGGGGCTTTACCAAAACCAGGGATTGTGGTTTAAAGTCACGGCGAAAGTGTCTTAAGCTTTCTAAATAAAGGGTGTCATTTTGAGACTGATATCTAAACACACAGGCAAATACCCACGGTAAGGAAATTAGGGATATTATAGCAAAATTACTAGTGACTTCACTATCATCTAATCACTTTCATATGCACAAAGATATCTTGGTCAAAGAAAAACAACTCATTCCAATCATCGGGCAACATCTGGTCCTGAAAAGTGAAGCAAATGTGGGAGTGGCTTAAACTTACATTCTCTCTAATGGCCATCAGGGGGCGACTCCTCTGAAAGAAGTCCCATGATATGGTAGTCTATGAGAAAATTACTCTAGTTCTCACTTTATTTATTACCTCAGTAAACATTGTAAACATGAGTTTATGGTCTCAATCTCTAGTTTCAAGTCTTCTTCCACACAGCATGATGTTCATTTAGTACATTATGGTCCATTTAGAGTCAAACAGACCATAAAGCAGGGGATGATTTGGGTGGGGCTACCTTGTGATTGACAGGTCTCTACCACAGCATTGTCTGATCTGGGAGTTGTCTTACAGCAAAAATATCAAGATAATAAAATCAAAAGCCAAGATGGCGATGGGCAAAACACAAAAAAAAAACGTGACTTTAAACCCACAGTCCACAAACCAATGGGTGACGTCGGGGTGGATACGTCCACTTCTTGTAAAGAGCATCTCAATAGACTAGGGCAGAATCCACACCATTTCCTTATCATAGAAAAAGAACACTTCAAAACTATTTAGAATTATTGACCATACATCATACAAAGGGCTTTATTATCATACAGATAGAGTTAAATCATGCACCTGGGAACACACAATTAATAAATTGTACACTACTGCGTTCAGAAGGAATTATCAAATATATTTTAGCATTGTACAGGAACCAAAATACTAGGGATTTGTTAATACTGTAAAGTTTTTTAACTTTTTCGGTCCACTTTAATTCTATTCAATTCAATCTTATTTTGTACAGCCCAAAGTCACAAATCATAAATTTGCTTCAGAGGGCTTTACAATCTGTACACATGCGACATCCTCTCTCCCGAGACCTCAGAAGTTGCTGATGCTGGGAATCATTTGTGCATAATGATGTTCAAACCGTCTTTAGATGTGACTCAGCAGTGTTCGGAGACACTACAGAACAAAAAAAGCACAAATAACATCAAAGTGCCCACTCATTGAATCTGTGTTTCTCCCCGTCAGCTCGCTCTGCGTCTCAGTACGCGCCGACCTCCGGCTCCTGCAGGAACAGGTGTTTCGAGCTGGTTGACCTGGAGCCCCCAAACTGCCGCTGTGACAACCTGTGCAAGACCTACAACGGCTGCTGCTCTGACTTCAATCAGCTGTGCCTCAGGACAGGTAGTGCTTGTCTTCTGATTCCTTTGTTTTTTTTCTTCCTACCTAGCTTTTTTTTTTTTCATCCCCTCTGTCTTAGAGGAGCGACAGGAAAAGACAAGAACAGACATTGTGCCGTGATTTCAAAGAAAGAAAATGACTCCCAGATTCTTGGCAGTGTGTTTGATATCAGTGTAAAGGGACTGACTCTTGGTGGTGCAGGTCTGGTCAGAGAGGCTGGAGGAAAATCCTCGGACATCTGGCATATTTTTTTTTCCAACACAATGGAACATTTGCCGTGTAATGCGACTTCGATGTGTTGCTGTGACTCTGCTGTTTCTGTTTGTGTGTGAGAGAGTGAAAGCATAGTGACTCTTTATAGTGACTGTGTCAACAGACATGTTACACATAACACATGCTTCATATATCAGTGAAGAATTATATAAATGTAGCAGGAAAAACACACATCATCCAATTGGTGAAAACTTAAACAGGAATTCAAATTCCAGTATCTAATGTATATAACATTCAAACACAGAACTGAACTGAATAGATCGGCACCGTTATCACCAATTACAGATCCAGCTATTTAAGTCAGTATCGGCCTGATATTCAGTATCTGTAGATTCCCTATCGATATCCTATTATATCCAATAGTATTACATTATATATTTGCTTCTCCTGGAATAACTACAATTGTGAAATCCTACTCGCATACACACATGCATCATTTTCTATATTGAGTACTTTTACTTTTGATACTTTTTTAAAACTGTTTCTGTCATGAGTACTTTCACGCAAATATATTAAGTGAAGCTAAAGCAACAAGTTTCATCAACCAGGCAAATTGTGTAAAACGGACGTATTCAAAATGTACACTAGAATGTACAACAACACGGAGGCTCCGTGGTCCGAACCAAGACGATAAACTTTATTGCTCCTTTCAACCTTGACAAAGGCAAAGCAGACCAGATCCACTCCTTCCACTCTTCACTTTCACAATAAAAGCCCTCGACATACACCACTGTTTACCAGAGGGAATTTAAAACATTTTGCTACAAGGAAACTTAATTAAGTAGCTTACAGTAGCTCCGGCTATACAACAGCTGACCTCAGACAGACTGCCAGACGCCGCTCTGACCCTGGTAGTCGGTCCCCTGTGCGAATCTTTTCAAACCAATTCTTGATAAAGGTTGCAACTGTCTCAAATTCGCAACACTGCCTGTTTGGTATGAATTGTTCTACTGCCAAATATTCGAAGGCCTTGACTTATCTGGCTTCTGGCTTTGAGAGAGTAGCTCACATTGACACATAGCGATTGAACTTTCCTAAGCTATTCGAATAACATGTTGGAATTCTTCATTCAGGTTGGTGATCCGAATGTGTCCTTCACCACTTGCTCTGATGATGAAACTTTACAGTTACTTTGCAGTATGTTGCCATGCTACAGAGCCATTTAGCCAGACTCTGATTATTTTAGATCTAAACTTGTAATATCTTCCCAATTTAGTCTCGAAAAATGCTAACAGTGAATTAGTAATAACGTTCAGCGAGAGAATGTTTGTTCTAATCAGTTTAAATCTACATTCGTTTTTTAAACCTTGGTGGGTTCGCATTATTGTTGTCATTAGATATCTGAGACATCATGTCTCAGCTTGATTGTCCAGCTGTATCATTCATCAGTCCGAGCTGGAGATGAGCCTTGGTCTGAACTGGTTTCTCAGGTGTTGCCTTCTCTCTTCAGCTCTGTCAACATTTCCCCCCTCTTCTCCCAGTGTTGGTGGTCTGATTTTATGCCCTCTCCTTCAGCCTGGTGGTCTCTGGCTTACCACTGCCCAGCCACTGTAACCCTCCCTGTGCCAGAAAATGATGCTACATACCCAAGTTCCGTCGCTCATCTGGTGTTCTCATCTTAGCCCAGAACACATGCAGTGCTGTCAGTGTTTGTCCCAAAAGGCCGAGTGCTGAGCTGTAAGCTATGCAGCCAAACCGCTGGCAACATTAACCACATCGGCTTTCACTTCTCAATGCTGGTGGTTTCAGTGCTACTCTATAGATCAGATTAGTTGTGTGTACACACAACAAGGTTTTGGAATCTACTGTTTTTCCTCCCCGCTGGTTGTCATGTGAACATTCTTCCACGTTCCCGTACACAGAGGGGGGTTACGAGTGCAGCAAAGATCGGTGTGGGGAGACTCGGAACGAACAACATGCCTGCCACTGCTCTGATGACTGTCTGGCCAGAGGAGACTGTTGTACCAACTACAGGACACTGTGCAAAGGTTTGCCACTTGAAATATTAAACTGCATACAATGATTTGCATGTGAAGGCTTATTGATCAGGGGTTTTTCAGGACATATGTCTTATCTTGACCTAAAAAAAATCCCCGCAAGAAAAAGTGTACATCTTAAAAACTTTACAACCAATTCAGTCAGTTACGATGCGAAATGCTTTTGTCGTTTTTTTGTCAATACAAAAATGAACAAGTGCTGCCTGTCTTTACCTGCTCAGCTAAAGTTTTCCAATGCATTTAAGTAACTGAATGTCAGCTTTCTCCAGTAAGCGGATCCCTTAAACCTGGGTGTTTAATTAAAGAAAAAAACCTGAAAGACTTCAGACAGGGAATGGATCAGATCAACATTTGACTGTTTTGTAGAATTTGTGCAGTGACAAAGAGCTATGCTCTGTTGGTCCTCACTGCCAATCCGCTCAGACACACACACACACACACACACACACACACACACACACACACACACACACACAGCAATGAAAAACAAAACAGTCAGAAAAGTGTTCTTCTGTCTGTACAGTTAGAAAAAGTTTTAACTGTACTGCCATGTTTCCAAAATATGGTTTGAAAAGTCTGACCACTGACCTACTGCGTGTATATGAGGAATATATTTAAAGACTTTTCTATAATACAAATTCAGTACTTTTTTTATTTGCTACGTTCAGCTTGCGTTGTGCATACACCATTCTATCTCTCAGTACCTCCTCTGATCATGTTATTTTAGGGGACACGTCATGGCTGAAGGACGAGTGTGAGGAGATCAAGACATCTGAATGTCCTGCTGGGTACGTTTACATCTGAGCAGTGAAGGACATCAAATAAATGTGTTTATATACGTATATGCCGCATAACTAAAGGATTTGCTCAAGATTGAACTAGGGTGACCACATTTGATTTCCTATATCAGCATTTTGATCTTCTTCTGATATGTGCAGGTTTGTGCGCCCGCCACTCATCATGCTGTCAGTGGATGGATTTAGAGCTTCTTATGTGAAGAGAGGAAACACAGTCATCCCCAACATCGAGAAACTGAGTAAGACCTGGATAGTAGCTGTAAGGGGGAAGACTGTGTTGTTGTGGTGATTTATGAAGCCATGAGCATTTACAGATGATTAATAACTGATTTGGTTCTATTGATGGGTGTCTTTGTGCTAATATCGGGGTTTCCTTTGCTCTGTTTTCCCTTTCAGGAACATGTGGAACCCATGCTCCATACATGAGGCCTGTTTACCCCTCAAAAACATTCCCCAACCTCTACTCCCTGGCTACGGTATGGCACAGCTGCATGTTGCTGTCAACAATCAGGTTGTCTGTTGTTGTTGTGATAAAAAATCATTTGCCTTCAGTGATTACAGGCATTAATCTCAGCTGCATCTTAAAATGGTCTGCTAGCATTAGCGTTACGCTCAAAGTAAAGCTGAGGCTAGCTAAATATAAGTTACCATGTTTGCTAATGTTCACAGTTCTAATGCAGTAATTGTGACATTTCAGAAGTACTTACTTCTTCAGGTGGTTGATACAGTATTGTAGCTGTGATATCTAGTATTGGTAACATAAGTAAGTACAGCATGCTAACGTTCGTATTAAGTTCAAAGTAACTATAGCCAACCTAGTCGGCAAACAAATGCTGGTATTGAATGTTTCTGCAAACCACCGGAGATGTTGACTGTCAACGTTTCGAAACCAAAAATTTGTTTCGTATCACGTGGTTAATGTTGTGACATGATCGGTTAGATTTAGGCTGCAACACTACTTGGTTATGATAAGAAAAAAGATCACGGCTTGTGTTCAAATAATAACGTAACACTTTCTTCCATAACGTTATGTAACAAGCTTAACGTGTCAGCGTGACCTGACAGC